GGTAGGGGGAAAACAATGGAGGGGGTAACAATGTTCAAGAGGAAGTGTACTCATAACCTCACTCATGTAACTGTGACCCTCTGTATAGTAGCTTTACAATAAAAAAAAAAAAAATAAAAAAAAAAAAAAAAATAAAAAAAAAAAAACAAAAGAAATGATGTTTATTAGTTTGTTTGGCTGCCTTCCAAGTGCTGGAAGTATAAGGGTGACCCACGACCCCCTATCTTTTTATTTTTAAGAAAAAAAATCATCATGGCCAATAATAGCATGTGTGTATGTACGCATGTGCGCATGTATGTGTGTTTGTTGGTACTGGGGTTTGAACTCAGGGTTTCATACTTTCTCTGATACTTAGCTTTCTTGTTCATGGCTGGTACTCTACTGTTTGAGACACATCTCCACTCCAGCATATTTCTGGTTATTTGGAGAAATGAAATCTCTCAGACTTTTCTCCCCCACTAGATTTGAAGCTCAATCCTCCAAGATCACAGCCTCCTGAGTAGCTAGGATTATACGTGTAAACTGAGCTGACTGTGCTAAACTGCCCTTTTTTTTTTTTTTTTTTGCCATTACTTGAGTTCAATCTCAAGGCCTCATGCTTGCACAGTTTGCTTACCTCTCTCACTTGAGCCATACTGCCAGACCAGCATTTTGCTGGCTAATTGAAGATGGAGTCTCGAGACTTTTCTGCTTGGGCTGGACTCAAACTGGTCTCAGCCACCGAGTAGCTAGGATTACAGATGTGAGCCAGATAGGAACCCAGCAAGGACTAACTTTCTTTAAGCACAGACTGCTGGAAGCTTCTGGGATAGGGTTGAGGATCTAGATAGTTTTGGAGGGGGAATGGATGGTGGGAAAAGCCTGTAAATCTCAAAGCACCCTGTAGATTCTACCCAATACAAGCCTACACAAGGCCCTGAGGGAGATTGGATGAAGAGAGGTGTTGTCAACAGTAAACTAATGGGAGAATCCAAGCTCAGCAGAGGTGTGAGAGAGACTGTATAAACAAATAGACAATGGCCAGATCATATGTAAAACTAGAACTCTGGCTGGGCACCAGTGGCGCACACCTGTAATCCTATCTACTTAATAGGTTAAGATCTGAGGATTGTGGTTCGAAGCCAGCCAGTGGAAGGAAAAGTCCATGAGACTTTTCTTTTTTTTGCCAGTCATAGAGCCTGAACTCTGGGTGTGGGCACTGTCCCTCAGCTCTTCAGTTCAAGGCTAGCGCTCTACCACTTGAGCCACAGCGCCACTTCCAGCTTTTTCTGCTTATGTGGTGCTGAGGAATCGAACGCAGGGCTTCATGCATGCAAGGCAAGCATTCTACCACTGAGCTACCTTCCCAACCCAAGTCTGTGAGACTCTTATCTCCAATCTCCAATAAACTAATCAGAAAAGGTGGAAAGTGGTACTGTGGCTTAAGTTGTAGAGTGCTAGCTTTGAGCACAAAGAGGCTCAGAGACAGCACCCAGGCTGAGAGTTCAAGCCCCAGGACCTGCAACAAACAAACAAACCAAGCTCTGACCTACAACCACTGCAACAAATAGCCCAGGGTTCCAGTCTGCTAGAAATCAGATTTGCACAAAGCTGGACTGCCATCTCTAGCAACAACCTATGAAGCTAAACAATAACTTCTCAGTTACAATTAGCTCAGATTTGGTTAATAACTGACAGTCTCCCTAATTTTAGTCACCACTGCAATTTATGACCAATCAAAGTATGTACCTTTAACCCATCTTATGGAAGCTCTTTGTTATTCAGCCACCTCTAGTTGGCACATACGTAAGCTGTCTGTTCTGGTCATATAGCTCTCCTACTCTTTGGGCTGCCTTCTGGTCTCTGCCTAAACACAGGTCAATGGCGTCCCAATTCCCTTGTGTAGCAGCCTAGAAATGCACAGTCTTTGCTTTCCTCTTTTGCTTTGATTTATTTCAGCTGCTGTCCAAATTCATGTAAGGGTTTACTATGTAATAGGGTGACTGTTGTCAATAATGGAGTGTGTTTCAAATTAGGAACGAATTTCAAATTCCTAACCATAAAAATAATGCAAATAAGATGAAGGATATGTTAACTATCTAAATCTAATTACTCAACATTGTACACATATATCAAAACATCACCTCAGCCAAGCATGGTAGTGTATACCGTAATTCTAGCTCTTGAAAAGTGAGGCAGGATGCTTGAAAGGTTGAGGCCAGCCTGGGCTACCTAGTGAAAACTTATCTCAAAAATCATGTTTTGTCCCTTGGGCTGGGAAGGTGGCTCAGTGGTACAGCGCTTGCCTTGCATGCCTGAGGCCCTGGGCTCGATTCCTCAGTACCACATAAGCAAAAAGAAAAAAGCCGGAAGTGGATCAAGTGGTAGAGCGCTAGCCTTGAGCGGAAGAGCTGAGGGACAGCGCCCAGACCCAGAGTTCAGGCCCCACGACCAGACCACCCCCCCAAAAAAAATCATGTTTTGTCCCATAAATGTGCAAAATGCTGATTTGCCAGTTAAAAATAATATTAACAAAAAAGATATGAAAGACACTGTAAGCCAGAAGTGGAGTTGTGTCTCAAGTGGTAGAATGTTAGGGTTGAGCAAAAACGCTTAGAGACAGGGCTGGGAATATGGATTCATGGTAGAGTGCGTGCTTTACATGCATGAAGCCCTGGGTTCAATTCCTCAGTACCACATACACAGAAAAAGTCAAAAGGGGCACTGTGGCTCAAGTGGTAGAGTGCTAGCCTTGAGCAAAAAGAAGCTCAGGGACAGTGCCCATGCTCAGAGTCCAAGCCCCAGGACTGGCAAAAAAAGAAAAAGAAAAAAAAAAGGTTGTAAAGTATGCCCTTGGTATTTTATATTCATTGAATATTATAATGATAATATTTTGGATAAATTGTGTAAAATAAAATATATTACTCCCCAAAATCCTGTAATATTTCCATTGTCTATGTCATTGGCAAATCTAAAACGTGAATAATACCAGAAGTGCAACCTAATAATTTTCTGCATCATTTTCCAAAGACCTCCAGTCCATTCTTTGAACACTGTATTTTTTATTCAAATATTATTGAACTGGAGAAAAAGCTGTAAGCCAATGGAACTCATTGGACTGGATGTTCTCCGTAGAGATCAGATGACTCCTCAACACCTCTGTAAGTCATTACTTCACCCCAAAGATAATGTTTAGCTTTTAATATAATCATTTACTCACTGCCAATGTATTCTCCATTATTATTTTAGAAATCAAAGCTGAGCAGTCATTGTTTCCCACCCCCTTTTTTTGTGTGCAGGTCTTAGAGCTTGAACTCAGGTCCTTGGGGCTGTCACAAAGCTTCTTTGGCTCAAGTCCAGCACTTTTTTGGTAATTTTGTGGAGATAAGAATCTTACAGGGGGTTGGGAATGTGGCTTAGTGGTAGAGCGCTTGCCTAGCATGTATGAAGCCCTGGGTTTGATTCCTCAGTACCACATAAACAGAAAAGGCTGGAAGTGGCTCTGTGGCTTAGTGATAAGAACCACAGGGACAGTGCCCAGACCGTAAGTTCAAGCCCCAGGACTGGCACTGAAAAAAAAGCATCTCACAGACTTTCCTGTCTGGGCTGGCTTTGAACCTTGACCCTCAAGTCTCAGCCTCCTGATAGCTAGATTAAAGGTATAAGCCACTGGTGCCCAACTATTTCCCTATTTTAAAAATTCAGCATACACTGTATGGAAAACGAACTATCAACTGATGTGAAGGGACAGGAAAGGGAAACTGGAGGAAAATGAAAGGAGTAACATTGTTCCATAAGAATTGTACTTGTGGGGGCTGGGAAGGTAGTTCAGTGGTAGAGCACTTGCCTTGCATGCCTGAGGCCCTGGGTTCGATTCTTCAGCACCACATAAGCAAAAAGAAAAAAGCTGGAAGTGGCACTGTGGTTCAAGTGGTAGAGTGCTAGCCTTGAGCTGAAGAACTGAGGGACAGCGTCCAGGCCCCATGACCGGACCCAGAAAAAAAAAAAAAAGAATTGTACTTGTGGGTTGGGAATGCGGCTCAGTGGTAGAGCGCTTGCCTTGCATGCATGAGGCCCTGGGTTCGATTCTTCAGCACTACATAAGCAGAAAAGGCTGGAAGTGATGCTGTGGCTCAAGTCGTAGAGCTCTAGCCTTGAGCTGAAGAGCTGAGGGACAGCACCCAGACCCAGAGTTCAGGCCCATGACCGACAAAAAAAAAAAAGAGAATTGTACTTGTTACCTGACTTACAAAATGGTAACCTGTCTGTACAACACCTTAATAATAACAATAAAATTATATTTAAAAATAAACATTATAGAAAAAAAGAACAAGAATAACTCTGGTATTTTAAGATCCTGGAAATTCAGTTCATCTCTGCAAATTTAAGGTGAAAACTCGCCCTGCCCCATCTTCATCCCACTCTGGCCCCATGTGGGGTGAGATCCACAAGACACTCAGATTAAGATTATTTGCAAGTGGGAGGCAGGGACTGCAGAAGGGCCAGAATAAAGAGGACATCACTTGTCAGCCTGGCCCTCCCTGAATCCTGGCATGCTAAACTCATAAGTCACCACTCCTGGACACTCTATGTCCAGCTACCATGTGGTTTCCTCACATCTTCCAGAATGGCCAATGGCAGTTGACCTCATCCCTCTGAGAGTGTCACTGTTCCAGGGGCTGTCACTAAGGAAACAGGGCAGGCTCTACAAAAGGGACATCACTGAATGCCTCAGCCGCCCTTGCTGTCATGTCCTTTGAAGAAGTGACATCTGGGTGACTGAGGACAGGAAAAAGAGGAGAAAGGCATTTGGTTTCTTCAAGTGTGGGGAAGTGGAAGATTCCCCCCTTGGGGTCAGGGGTCAGGGGTCGTGGCCGTGTAGCCGTGGGGCCCTGGCCAGAGCACCTTTGTGCCTACTGCCATCTGTCTGTGTCTGTCTGTCTGCAGGATTCCAGAGTGAAGTTTCAATGTGCCTCTGCCAGTCATTCCCTGGGTTCTGCTGGCTCACAGTTGAGTCTTACCGAGCACTCCAAGCTTGGTGGCAAACATCAGCGCAATCCCGATAGGGAGGCCAATCACATAATACCCTATGGCATTAACGATGGCTCCAACCTTCTGGTTTCCAGTGCCCCTCAGAATGCCACCACTCGTACACTGTAGGCAAGAGACAGGAAACATCCATTCATGTGAGCATCGCTGGACTTCTAAAGAACCCCCTTCTGAGCCTGGACCAAACATTTTATCACTCCGTGACATCACAGGCTGGTGACATATACTCTGTAGAAGTCACCAGGACAATAATACTCAATAGGAGTTCCCATTCAAGTCCCTCTTCTAAGGGGACCTGAAGTTTATTCTCTTAAGAAGAAATAGGTAGCAGGCCACCAAGGAGCTTATACTCACAGCAAGACCTTCAAAGAGGTGGGACACTGCATATATGGGGACCACCTGAGCCACCAGAGCCACGATGTCTCTGTCAGGAAAGTAAAGCACATAGTGATGAGTGGGAAACATGTATGCAAAAAGAGAAGAACATGATTCCCAGGTGAGGCGACCCCTTTTCTGTTGCAGTTCAGCAAGATTCTTGGTCCAGCTGGCTTGGCGCATACACACCAGCCATGGGCCTGAGGGGAAGTGGGGTACTTCTACGGTGCCTTAGTCAAAACACGAAAGCGATTACATGTTGTTTTCATTACTTTATAAAAATACAGTTCATATAGATTAATTAAATGATGTGATATGCTTCTGTCCTCTCAAACTAAAGTTCAGCTTGTATTGCCATCTTTCTTCTAAGGTGGCTCCTCAGATCAAGTCTTAACATGCCTCTGAGTGTCTGAATGAAACATTGCAGAGAAAGTTAAGGTGCTCTAATATAGAGGATTGGGGGTGTGGCTTGATGGTAAAGTACTTGCCTAGCAAGTGTGAGGCCCTGGGTTCCATCTCCAGCATCACCAAAAATTAAAACCTGCTCACCACAGAACTAGGTAAGCTGGCAAAGCTATAAAGATCATGGGAACAGTGTGGAGAGTTAGCCATAGCCTTTATGATCTGAAATGTGTCCTATTCCCTAATGCTAGACACTTAGATTCTTCCTCTTTTTCTTTCTTTTCTTTTTTATGGTACTGGGTTTTGAACTCAGGGCCTCATGGTGTTCACAACTCTCTTTTCCTATGTAATGTATTACATACTCTTTTATATTCTGCCAAAACGTATCATTTCCAATATACTGCTCAATTAAGTCTATTACTATGTTGCTATTTTTATTTATTTGTTGCTGTTGGGGATTGAATCTAGGGCTTCATGCATCCTAAGCACACATTCTACCACCAAGCATCCTAAGCACACATTCTACCACCAAGCTATACAACAGCCCTATTTGGAGTTTTTTAACCAGTGGTCTGCGATTTATTTGTTTGGTTGTTTTGTACTGTACTTTTACTTGGCTTTTTCTTTCAAGGCTGGTGCTCTACCACTTGAGGTATATCTCCACTTCTAGCTTTTCGGTGGACTTTTCTGCCCAGGCTAGCTTCTAGCCTCTGTCCTTAGATCTCAGCCTTCTGACTAGCCAGGATAACAGATATAAGCCACCAATGTCAGCCATTGGTAAGATTTCAATTTGATTTGACAAATAAAATCAGGCAGTTTGGCAGATACCAAGATGATTCTTCTCATCAGGACCAAAATACAAGTTGAATATTCCTGATGCAAATTATTTGGAGCCAAAACTGCTTCAGATTTCAGATTATTTCTGGATTTTTGAATAACTCCAAATACATTATGAGATATCTTGGAGAGAGGACTCTGATCTAAGCACAAAATTAATTTATATGAGATACACAATTTATATACATACCCTGAAGGTAATTTTGCACAATATTTTCAGTATATCTGCATTTTTGACCGCTCTAGCACACAAAGCTATATAACATCATGTTAGCAATCAAAAAGTTTCAGATTTTAGAGTATTTCTGATTTTGGATTTAGAATATCCAATCTGTCTGAAAATGTACTCCACAGTACCAAAAATTATTTTTAAAAATCCATGGGCCAGGTGCTAGTGGCTAATTCCTGTAATACTACTCTGGAGGCTGAGATCTGAAGATTGTGGTTCAAAGCCAGCCCGGGCAGAAAAGTCCCTGTGAGACTCTTAACTCCACTAAACTACACAAAAAAGCCTGAAGAGGTGCTGTGGCTCAAGTGGTAGAGTGCTAACCTTGAGCACAAAAGTCTTTGGGACAGCATCCAGGCCCTGAGTTCAAGACTCAGGACTGACAATAAAAAGTAAAATAAAATAAAATACATGAGTATTCTGACCATCAGAAGAATATGTTCACTACCAATACTCATTAAATTGGCATTCTAGATTATAAACTAGTTTCTATATCTGATCAATTAAGTTCTTCCCAAGGAAAATCAGTGGAGTTTCTGATCTTGCAAATTACCCAAACACCTCTCCAGATGCAGCACCCCTACCTCTAGCCATGATAGCAAGACAGCAACCTATCCATCTCTTGATCACAGATTTTCCATTTCAAGAAAACCCCAACACTCACCGGTCAGTAGTGAAAATGTAGCCCACAAAGTCCTTACAGCTTAACATCAGGACACAAAAGGCTACAGCAAAAAGCACTGGAGGAGGAAAAAGAACAGGAGAAAGGAAAACTGTGAACAAGGAGAGCTGGACAACATGCACTGAGAGCCTCAGCTAAATAGGTCTACGTACCTGTGACCAGCAGAGCAAGCACTGAGGACTTCTTCGCTTGCTCTATGTTTCCGGCACCCAGTGCATTTCCTACCCGGACGCTGGCAGCTACGCTGATGCCAATAGGGATCTAAAATGAAAAGGAAAACCTGCAACAAACTGCCCAGTGCTGGCATGGCACTGAGAGGCAATATCAGGCCTCACACCTCACTGGCAAAATGTTGCTTTGCAACATCGTTTGGCCTAATTAGGAGGCTAATGTGGGACCTGGGGTTAATGACACTCCTCACTGTGAGAACCTTTTTTTTTTCTTTTTGTTGTTTTTTTTTTTGGGGGTCCAGGCCTGAACTCTGGGCCTGGGCGCTGTACCTCAGCTCTTGAGCTCAAGGCTAGTGCTCTACCACTTGAGCCACAGCGCCACTTCCGGCTTTTTGCTTATGTGGTGCTAGGGAATTGAACCCAGGGCCTCAGGCATGCAAGGCAAGCGCTCTACCACTGAGCCACCTTCCCAGGATATCCAGGATGGCATTTCATTTCCATCAATAATTTCTTTCTTTCTTTCTTTCTTTCTTTTTTTTTTTTTGGTTGGTCGTGGGGCTTGAAGTCTGGGCTTGGGCACTGTCCCTCAGCTCTTCAGCTCAAGGTGAGCATTCTACCACTTGAGCCACAGTGCCACTTCTGGTTTTCTAGTGGTTTTATTGGAGATAAGAGCCTCATGGCGGGCTGGGAAGGTGGCTCAGTAGTAGAGCGCTTGCCTTGCATGCCTGAGGACCTGGGTTCAATTCCTCAGCACCACATAAGAAAAAAGCCAGAAGTGGCGCTGTGGCTCAAGTGGTAGAGCGCTAGCCTTGAGCTGAAGAGCTGAGGGACAGCACCCAGGCCCAGAGTTCAGGCCCCACAACCGGACCAAAAAAAAAAAAAAAAAGAGTCTCATGGATTTTCCTGTCTGGGCTGGCTTTGAATCTCAGATCTCAGCCTCCTGAGTAGCTAGGATACAAGTGTGAACCACCAGCGCCGGCTCCATCAATCATTTCATTTATCACTGCTACATGTTACCAATGTCAGTGCTTACTTGTGGGGACCATCTCCCACGGCCCCAGGGCAGCTCTGGGACACTTACCATGTACATGATGACAGCCAGTTCATACACAATGGACTGGGCTCCCAGCTCTACCATGCCCAGAATCCCTGCAAAGACAGACAGCTGACACCTGGCTCTAGACAGAGCCCCCAGTGCCCAGGAGCTGTGCCTGCCTCTCAGCATACGTACCACTCAGGAAGCTGCCGATCTCATAGGCCCACCACTCAATACAGAGCATCAACATGCTGGGGATGGCCAGGTGCAGGAAGGAGGCCCAGTCCTGCAGGCACTCAATGGACCACCCTGCAGGGGCAACACACAGGTTTTCATCAGATCTGGCCTTCAGGCTGGATCTCAGCCCCAGGCAAAAAGCTATGGCCAAGCTGTAAGACAAAAGACAACCTTAAGCCAGACACTGATGACAGGTCATGCCTATAATCCTAGCTCTCTAGGAGACTGAGATCTGAAGATCTAGGTTCAACACCAGCCCAGGTAGAAAAGTCTGTGAGACTCTTATTGTCAATGAACCAGCAAAAAGCTAGACATAGAGGTGTGGCTCAAGTGATAGAGTGTTAGCCTTGAGCAAAAAAGCCAAGGGAGTTCAAGCCCCAGTACTGTCACATATACACAAAAAAAGCAGCATTTACCTCCCCAAGTAGCTTGATGTAGTTTTCTCCCGAGGATGTAGAGAAAGAGGAGGAGAGCCAGAGTAAACTGAGCGATTGTATTGGCCAGTGCAGAACCCCTGGGAAAGAACAGTAGCCAATTGAATGTGTACTAATGTTCTTTCAGTAAGGAGGGGCCATGTGTATCTTGCTTTGCCCTCTTCCTGAGGCCTTGAAGTTGTCTTTTCCCAGGACAGCATCCTCCACCCCCGATAGCACTCAGTGTGAGGAGACCACATATGGGCCAGATTGGAAACACCACACACAAGTCCTCCCTCTTCCCTGTCCCAAGAGGAGGCTGGATGGACTCACATCACCCCCAGATTCAGCTGATAAAGGAACAGATAGTTGGCCAGGGCATTGACAAGGTTGGCTGCAAATCCAGTCACGATCTGGGGCAGAACGATTCCCTGGAATAAGGAGACACTGAGGGTCCAGGCCAAACTCACCGTGCTGCACAGTAGGACAGGTTAACAGGGTACAGCGCCCCTTTGGCTCTTGCCTTCCCTGTCTCCCATCCCTTCCTCTTCTCTCTTTCATATGTGAAGCCAGGAGCTCCGCCACAGGAGGTGAGAAGGCAGCAGGGAGGAAAAAAAAAAAAATAGCTTCTCTCCAAGCATGCAAGGACGGGCAAGGTTAACAGGTGTACAGAAGGTATTTTCAACATGGGATGAAGATACAGTCCTCCTTGTCATGAAAGTTGAAATTCAGAACACTGACCAAAGATCTTGTGAAACTAGAATTTCTTTCTGGAATATGGTAGAGACTATCATAGCTGACTGAGAAGCAGCGTAGCGGCAGGAGAAACGTCCTGTCTGGTATCCCATATATGGTGGTACACACCTGTCATGCCAACATTTGGGGAATGGAGGCTGGAGGATTGAGGGTTTGAGGCCAATCTTGAACAAAGTTGGTAGGACACTATTTTAAAAACAAAATACACAGCGAAGGGCTGGGCTGGGTGGGTGTGGCTCTGGTGATACAGCACTTGCCTAGCAAGAGGTCCTGGGTTCAATACTCACAACTTGGGAGGAGGGGAAAGAAGCAAATCAAATTGACAATCTAATTTCCATATAGAAGATGAATGAAATTTATGTTCATTCAGTAACATGTAATAGATACCAAATTATTTTGGAAGGGGGCACTGTTTCTACTGCTGTCCCGTGTTACATCCCCCCACCATTTTTTTTGGTTTTTTTTTGGGGGGGGGGTCCAGTCGTGGGGCCTGAACTCTGGGCCTGGGTGCTGCCCCTCAGCTCTTCAGCTCAAGGCTAGCACTCTACCACTTGAGCCACAACACCACTTCCAGCTTTTTTCTTTTTGCTTATATGGTGCTGAGGAATGGAACCCAGGGCCTCATGCATGCAAGGCAAGCGCTCTACCACTGAGCCACCTTCCCAGCCTCCCCACCCTTTTTTTTTTTTTGTCGGTTTTGTCGGTCGTGGAACTTGAACTCTGGGCCTGGGTGCTGTCCTTGCACTCTTCAGCTCAAGGCGAGCTCTCTACCACTTGAGCCACAGCACAACTTCCGGTTTTCTAGCGGTTTATTATAGATAAGAGTCTCAGGAACTTTCCTGCCCAGGCTGGCTTTGAACCATGATCTTCAGATCTCAGCCTCCAGAGTTGCTAGGATTACAGGCAAGAGCCACCAGTGCCCGGCACACCTCTTTGGCAGCTTCTTTCTTACTGAGAAATTTTGTTCTCAAAAATCATAGACCATATGAACTTTTGCTATTCCAAATTATATCAGTAAACAAACAAACAAAAAGCTCTACTCTTGACCAGATGATTAAAATCGCTGTAACACCAAAAAGGAGTTTAGGGCTAGGGTGTGGGTCACTGATACAGCACTCAGCATGCATAGGCTGAGGTTCCCTTCCCAGCACTTAAAAAATGAAAACAAAAAGCTACTCAAGAGGCTGAGATATGAGGATTGTTTCAAAGCCAACCGAGCCTTCCCACCATCAATCCCCCAAAAAAGTCTGTGAGAATCTTATCTCCAGTTAACTGTCAAAGAGTTGGAAGTGAAGTTGTGGCTCAAGTGGTAGAGCCCTAGCCTTGAGCAAAAAAAAAAAAAAAAGCCAAGAAAAAATGCAAGGGCATAAGCTGAGACCCTAGTACTAGAATGGGGGCTGGGGGTGCGGTTTGAAGGGCAGCTTCTAATTCAGACCTGGATATGGTTTCTCCATCTATCTTAGCTTTGCAGTTTCCAAGTGAAAAGGGACCTAGTTGCACAACACAGTCTAGACATGAGCTTCATTGACAGCCCTGCTCTGCTCTGAGCCTACAAACCAAGGCTTCACTAAATCCTACCTGATCCCTGTGTTTCTATAAATTCTTATGATTCCTTGTCTGCTAAGACCAACCTCCTCTAGCTCCTCTCATCTCTCCAGTGTGTGAGTGTGTGTGTGTGTGTGTGTGTGTGTGTGTGTGTGTGTGTGTGTATGATGGGGAGATCTGTGATCAGATTTTAATTCCAAGAAAATGATAAGAGCAGCAGCATGATTTAAGATAGACATAGAGGGGCTGGGAAGGTGGCTCAGTGGGAGAGAGCTCGCCTTGCATGTATGAGGCAATGGGTTCCATTCCTCAGTACCACATAAGCAGATAAAGCCAGAAGTGGTGCTAGCCTTGAGCTGAAGAGCTGAGGGACAGTACCCGGGCCCAGAGTTCAGGCCCTACAACCAGGCCAAAAAAAAAAAAAAAGACCTAGAGAAAAAGTGGCAGTAGGGAAACTGGTCAAGAAGCTCCTACTGAAATGACACAGAGCACAAATAACAAGAAATGATTTAAGTGGTGTTATAGAGGAAGGAGAGGAGCAGAGAGGACCTCCAAAACTAAGTAACTGATCAAACAGAGGTAGAGGAGAAGATAACATCACAGGGCAGGTGTGTGGCCTATGAGAGGCAGGTGAGGTGCAGTGGTGGAAGCCACTAATTGAGACAGGATCCAAGAAAGTGAGGTGCAGCAGGCTTGCCTGGCAAGGAGGAGTCACAGCTGGGCACCAGTGGCTCACACCTGTAATCCTAGCTATTCAGGAGACAGATCTGAGGATTGTGGTTCGAAACTAGCCTGAGCAGGAAAGTCCTTGAGACTCTTATCTCCAATTAACCACCAAAAAGACAGAAGTAGAACAGTGGCTCAAATGGTACAGCACTGGCCTTGGGCAAAAAAGCTCAGCGAGGGGCTGGGAAGGTGGCTCAGTGGTAGAGTGCTTGCCTTACATGCATGAGGCCCTGGGTTCGATTCCTCAGCACCACAAAAGCAGAAAAAGCCAGAAGTGGTGCTGTAGCTCAAGTGGTAGAGCACTAGCCTTGAGCTGAAGAGCTGAGGAACAGCGCCCAGGCCCAGAGTTCAAGCCCTATGACCAGAAAAAAAAAAAAAAAAAAGCAGCTCAGGGGCAGTGCTATGGCCCTGAGCTCAAGCCCCAGACCTGTATCAAAAAATGAATGAATAAAAATAAATAAACAAATAAATAATTAAATAGAAGAGGAGGAGGTATCACCTATGTAAATTTCATGAGTTTCCCGTAGAGGGCTGGAAAAAAAAATCTGGAAGCCAGAGAGATTCATGTGGGGGAGCCACATGCCCACAGATGGAAAGGTAACACATGAGGAGGGTCCTAGAAAGTCCAGGGGAGTCATCTTGGCCTCCAAGTTCCCCTCACTCCACACCTGAAAGTCTAAGCATTACCCAGCTTCTTTTTTTTTTTTCTGTTCCTTTTCTACTCTATGTCCTCTTCTAGGTTAGTAATTTTTTCCAGACAACTAGTTACCTCTTTCCATTCATTCTCAGTATGCTCCATCCAGGTTATCTTCTTAGGGAAGGCCTCAAGGCAGAAACTTTTTCTTATTTTTTATTTTTTATTTTTTGGGTCCGGTCGTGGGGCCTGAACTCTGGGCATGAGCTCTGTCCCTCAGCTCTTCAGCTCAAGGCTAGCGCTCTACCACTTGAGCCACAGCCCCACTTCCGGCTTTTCTTTTCTGCTTATGTGGTGCTGAGGAATCAAACCCAGGGCCTCATGCATGCAAGGCAAGCGATCTACCACTGAGCCACCTTCCCAGCCCCCCAGAAACTTTTTTTAAAAATCAGTCGTGGGGCTTGAACTCTAGGCCTGGGCGCGGTCCCTCAGCTCTTCAGCTCAAGGCGAGCACTCTACCACTGAGCCACAGCACCACTTCCAATGTTCCGGTGGTTTACTGGAGATAAGAGTCTCACTGACTTTTCTGCCCAGGCTGGCTTTGAACCGCAATCCTCAGATCTCAGCCTCCTGAGTAGCTAAGATTACAGGTGTGAGCCACCAACTCCTGGCTCAATCCAGGCAGAAACTTTTTGCTCAAGAGCCTCCCCCTCCTCTCCTATATGCCCCACCATCTTGTCCTATAGATCCTCTCCCACTGTCATTTTGTTTTCTACTGCTCCCCAGGGAAGGGGGTAGAGTGGGCTTTCATTTCCCAAGACCCTCATCAACCTCCATTTCATCTCCCTCATCTGAGCCCCAACAAGTAGTTTGTTCCTACAAATTTTGAAACCCAGCAGAGAATGTAGACTCTGCTCCAGCAGACCTGGAGTCAACCACTCTAATGCCACCACATGCTTCCCAGGCCTGTGACTGGCTCTTGCTGGCCCATTTTCTGGGCATGCCTTTCCCCCTTCTTGTCCTTGGAATAACAGCTCCACTTCTAGCCTTTTTGTTGTTGTTGGTGGTGGTGGTGGTCATTGTGGGCCTTGAATTTGGGCCTGGGTGCTATCTCTGAGCTCTTTTGCTCAAAGCACTTTGAGCCACAGTGCCACTTCCAGTTTTCTGGTGGTTAACTGGGGATAAGAGTCTCACAGACTTTCCTACTCAGGCTTGCTTTGAACCATGATCCTCAAATCTCAGCTTCCCAAGTAACTATGATTATAAGCATTGAGCCACCAGAACCCAGACTTGCTTTTTGCTAGTTAATTGGAGACAAGAGTCTCTTGGATTTGTCTGCCTGGGTTGGTTTCGAACCTTGATCCTCAGCTCTCAGTCTTCTGAGTAGCTAGGATTACAGGTGTGAGTCACTAGCACTTGGATGAAGCTTATAAATATGATGTTAATAAAGTATGAAAATAGCCTTGTTTAGTTACTAATGTCTTAACATTATTCAAGAAGTGGCAAATTCTCTTCCTTCCCTTCCCTCTTCCTCTATTCCTTCTGCCTGTAGGGTGAGTCCCACACCTCTATTTACCTGGAATTTTCTAGAAGGAAATCCACAGTCTTACATCCTAAAGCCATACCTACCAACTTGGAACCACCATCGCAAGGCCTCTGACCATTGCTGTTAGCCCCACATGGAGAATCCTGACTGACTTGAGGCCCCATGACAATTTGAATTTTTGCATCACTACTGGGGAAAGCAGGGACCTGCAGAAAGAGCTGAACAGAGGCTGGCTCTCAGGAGCTAGACAGGCCATTCTGACCCTCAGCTCTCTCCAGGGAGCACAAGGATCTGCCCTGCTCAACCCAAAGAGTTGGTTTAAAACAGAGCCAAAGACCACAGTGGCTATAATCCTAACATGGCCAATGACAATATTTCTAAGTGGGAACTGGATACAAATTTTCCAGAGCCAAAAATTATGTGATCTTTCCTTGATTTTCCTGAACAAACCAGATCTTCACATTAAAGTTCAAGGTGTCCAACTCTAAAACTATCATTCAGGGGATCGGGGAAGGTAGGTTCCCACCACCCTGGTCTCCCTCATCCCTCAGTGTTTGCAGGACTCCCAACCCCATTAGCTTCCCATAGGAAGAGGACAGTTTGCTTTACCTGGTTGAGCAAGTATTTAACTTGTAATGTATAAAGGAAGGATGCCTACAAGAGAACAAGAAGTGGGTGTTAGGGTAGTCACCTGGACATACCTGGTCAATGAGCTAGGAGCCACAAGCTGGCTTATGCCATAGTTAAGGCTGATCCCCTTTGCTCTTCCAAAGAGCCATGCATTTCTTTTTATGGCTACAAATGGTTCAAGCAATATCCCCACAACACACCCTATTGGGCCAATGGAGATGTAGTTCTTTTGGGTGGGCAGCAAGAATTTTTCTGAGTATGTTAGGAGATAGCTCACAGGGTATATCAACCTATTTGGTGGGACAATGAAAGAATATTGCATTTAAACGGGTTTTATGCAACAGGGCTTGGGAGTAAGGGAGCTCAGTAGTAGGGCTTTTGCCTAGCATGTGAGGCCCTGGATTCCACCCCAACCCTGCAAAAGTTACTCAGTGAATTAAATACAAATATTGTTTTATAACGTAAAGAGCACAGTGCCAATTACTAGGGCAAATGGCTATGTTACAGGTTGAAGGACGTCTCCCAAAATAACACATCGAAGCCCTAATACTCACTCAGGCATGTGACTGGGGTTGCAGGCCTTTACAGAGGTGATTAAATTAAAATCAAGGTGTCAGGTTGGGACCTTTATTTAATAGAATCTGTGTCCTTGTAAGAAGAGCTACCTGGGGCTTTGGGCACAGGGGCAGGGCTATGGGACTTGGAAGCAAACAAGATGACATCTGTAAGTGAAGGACAGAGGCTACAGAGGAAACTAGCTGTGTCCACACCTTGATCTCGGACTTCTAGTCGCCAATGTAATAAGAAATCACTTCCTATTGTTTAAGCTCCCAGCCTATGGTATTATGGCAGCCCCCCACAAACTAATTCAGCTTTTTCTCAATTGAATAAACCTAGTTTTTGACTGTCCTTTGAGCACACACATCTGGATGTCAAACATTAACACATTCAGTGTGCCCACACTCAGCAGGCACACAAAGTCTAAAGGGCAAAATGAGTCCCTCAGAGGCTCTGAGATGTGTAAGCTTTACCCCTTAAAAAAAATCTAAGGGTTGAGAAGGTGGCTCAGTGCTAGAGTGCTTGCCTTGCATGCACGAGGCCCTGGGTTCGATTCCTCAGCACCACATAAGCAGAAAAAGCCAGAAGTGGCGCTGTGGCTTAAGTGGTAGAGTGCTAGCCTTGAGCTGAAGAGCTGAGGGACAGCACCCAGACCCCACAACCAACAACAAAAAAAGTCCAGATTCTTCTCCTTGAATGAACTCAGAGGGCCCTCCAGCTACAAGAATTCGAGATAGTGGCCTCCTGGAATTTTATCTTCCCACCCTCATGTTTCTTTGAGAGATAATGCTGGCTATGTACTTCAATTGGGCATGATTAAAACCACTCTTTCATGAAGAGCAAGATTTTAATTATGTGGGCATAATTATGCCAAAATTAAAATTATGCTTACATGAGAGTCACTGACTAATCTGATATACCTGGGGCCTGATGATGGCACGGGTACTTTCTTACCCATGGGCCCCCAAGAATGGAACCCTGAGCCCTTGAGAACTCACAGGAAGTGCTGGAATGAAGATCATGACATAGGTCTGCGTGAGCCTAGACAACAAAAAAATAAGAGTGAAAAACAATGATGGAGGTTACACTCCATGGAAAAGAAAGGCAGAACAAAATAAACTGCTGGGGGAAGAGGGAAACCTTACAGAGTTTGCCAAGTTGCCTTTCTTGCTTCTTCCATGACTTTGGGTTTAGGACAGGGATTTTAGTCTCACACGATGGCTGGGTGGTTCTCTGGTGTGAGAAGCTATCCTGTGTAAGACAGGCTGTTTGGCAGCCTTCCTGGTTTCCATCCCGGCAACCATCAGCTGAGATACCCAAAACTCTCTTCAGATATTGCTGATGGCCCTGGTCTCAGAGCCCTGGGTTTGAGGCAAGGACTAAATTTTAAAGGTCTTAATGGCCACTCACTAGAATCAAAAGCTTTGAATGGAACTGGTACCCAGGCTTTGCCCTGGATCAATTTGAAGAGGCCTTGGGGAGTAGGGACCAAAAACATGAATCAGGATTTATAGCATCCTGGTAGTGTGTGTGCACGCACGCGCACACTTAAGCCTCAAGACATGAGCACTGTCTCTGAGCTTTATTTGCTTGAGCCACAGCTCCACTTCTGGCTTTGCTTCTTTCTTTCTTTCTTCCTTTCTTTCCTTCTTTCTTTCCTTCTCTCTCTCTCTCTTTCTTTCTTCCTTTCTTTCTTTTGGGTAGGGGAAAGGGAGAGTATACTTTATTGAAGATAAAAGTCTCATGGATTGTCTGGTTTAGCTTCAAATCACAATCCTCAGATTTCAGCCTCCTAAGTAGCTAGGATTACAGGCATAAGCCACCAGTGCCAGCCTTCCTGATAATTTTAATATCAGTGAGTATTGGAATCATTAAGCTATGAAAAAACCATAAACTTTGGTTCCATGTGGAAGATACTTGCAAAAATAATTCCACTCAAAACTGACATCCTGGAGAGGAGAATCTAGATCTTAGGAGAGCCAGGTGTGGAAGACATTAAGGCCTGTGAGGGCTCAGCCAAAGAGAGCCTGAATCCCATCTTGGTGAGCAGCCTTTGTCACTGGCCTTTGTTAACTCCTAAAGGCTGAGCCTGGCCAGTCTTTCTCCCAACTTACTTGGACACAGACGGGTCCTGCCTGAAGAGCAGCAGGATGTGCTGGGTATTGACAAAGAGCGCCCAGCAGGGGAAGCAGCAGAGGAGAAGGATGAGCACGCCCTTCTGCAGGATGACCCCCACGTGCTTCAAGTTCTGGCTGCCATATGTCTAGGGTGTACAACAGACAAATTCATTAGCACAGAAAAGGCACACCCTGCTGTTCCCTAAGAGCCTTCATGTCCCCCAAAGCATGCTTCACAAAGAAACAGGCGCATGGGCTGGGAAGGTGGTTCAGTGCTAGAGTGCTTGCCTTGCATGCACGAGGCCCTGGCTTTGATTTCTGAGCACCATATTAGCAGAAAAAGCCAGAAGTGGCACTGTGGCTCAAGTGGTAGTGTGCTAGCCTTGAGATGAAGAGCTGAGGGACAGCACCCAGGCCCAAAGTCAGGCCCCACAACCAGCACAAAAAAAAAAGGGACAGGTGCACTTAGAGACTTTGCCATCTTCTTAGGGAAGAGGTACCATGGCAAGAAAGGCCACAGAGTGAATGGACCGGCAGCTCGCTGCAACCACTCAGTATCACTAGAAAAGAAAGTACTGGATAGTACTGTTAGCCTAGGAGAGATCCAAAGTCAAAATTTAAAATATGGCTTGTCTGACTCTTTGCAGCATTTTTGGTTTAAAGTCAAGGCCTTGTGATTATCAGACAAAGATTCTACCCCTGAGCCATGTCCCCCATTCAACCAGTGCTTTTTCATTTAGGGGGTTTTGTTGTCGGTTGCTGTTTTTTATTCTAGAGATATTTTATTTAGAAAAAAATATCACTGACTTTAAGATTTTTCTTTTTAAATGGCACACTAATTAGTCATAAAATAGTCCAGGTGGGGCTGGGAAGGTGTCTAAGTGGTAGAGTGCTTCCCTCACATGCATGAGGCCTGGGTTCAATTCCTTAGCACCACAAAAACAGAAAAAGCTGGAAGTGGTCCTGTGGCTCAAGTGGTAGAGCATTAACCCTGAGCTGAAGAGCTCAGGGACAGCACCCAGGCCCAGAGTTAAAGACTCACAACCGACCAAAAAAAAAAAAAAAGTCCAGGATAATAAAATATTTACCCATAGAATGCAAAGTAAGTCAATGATGACTGAAAAATGTAATCCATCCACTGACTCATTTACCATTCCCACTGCTCCTCTCCTGTTTCCTTTATCTTTGCCTATTGAAAAGGCTGGTGTTCTACCACTTGAGCCACAGCTCCATTTCCAGCTTTTTGGTGGCTCATTGGAGATATAATTATCCCATGGACTTTTCCTGTCTGGGCTGGCTTTAAAAAGAGATCCTCAGATCTCAGCCTCTTGAGTAGCTAGTGAGCTTGAAGCAGAAAAAGCTAAGGGGCAGTGCCAAGGCCCTGAGTTCAAGCCTTAGTATGGCGCGCGTGCGCATGCGCGTGCGCACACACACACACACACACACACACACACACACACACACACACAGCATGACAGATAGATAGACAGACAGACAACAGACAGACAGACAGATAGATAGATATACCTATCTACATTACAAAGACAGCAAATGAGGAAAACAGGTTTAGGTGGCTGATACAGTGTTATAAAGACTTCCTGCTTAGGTTCTTTCATCTGTTTGTATAAGTAATTTTCTCTCTCTCTCTCTCTCTCTGGTTAGTGGAATTCTTCCATCTATATTCAAGAAATATTCTGGGGTCACTGTGAGAATGCGACCACTTCTACTTACCTGAGAGATGAGAGTGTCACAAGCAGAAGATAAGCCATGTCCCACTGAAATGCCAGTGACATTGATGATCTGAAAATAATCCAAGGATAAGGCCAGCAGAGTTAAAGAGGGAAGGGAAGTCCAGCTCTCTGTCCCTGCTGGCCAAAGCCAGTCAAGCTCCTCCTCCAACATTCACAAGCCCATTTCATCATCTTCCTGAAGCCTGGGGCCCTTGCTCAAATCAACTGAGCCAACCCCAAGCACATTCACAAGCTCAGAGAGGGACACAAAATCTAGCCTGTAGCTTGAAACACAGACTTTTTGTTAAGTCCTTGACATGTGTTCTCCCTGTCATAGATACTTCCAAAGGGAAAGAAGTCTGGCACAGCAGCAGTTTGGGGTAAGTTCATGTGCTCAAGGGTAACTGCCATTTTGTCGACTCTAATAGAAAATCCATATTCCAAGCTGGATTGTGAAACTCTAGAGCTGACTTGACATTCAAAAAGTTTCATGCCAAAAAATTCCAGCATTTAAAAAAAAAAAACTTCCCTGAGCATTTTGGATAAGGGAGATCCCACTTATCTGGTCGGGGTTAAAAACCTGAATGGAGTTGGACCCCAGTGACTCTACAATCCTAGCTACTCAAAAAGCTGAGACATTAGTGTCAAGGTTTGGAGCCAACCAACCTCGACAACAGATCTTTAAGACTCTTACCTCCAATTAACCAGCAAAAAGGTGAAACTGGAGGCATGGCTCAAGTAGTAGAGCAGAAGGGAGGCTAAGGGGATGAAAGCCACTGATGTTATCTATTGTTCTAGATACCAAACCAAGCTAGCCAAACCAAACAAGTTAGCAGGACCGTGGGGCTTACATGGCTGGTTGACAACCTCTGATACACATTAAGCCCCTGGATGGACAAAGACCCCTGGTCTCTGGGGTCTGCAGTCACTCTTGAAGATTTGGAGTGTCTCTCAATTTCGGGTTTGGAAACTAGTTTGGACTGAGGGGCAGAGTGGATGGGTCAGGGGGAATCTGTGCCTTCAGATGTCGTCAGACTCTAATGTCCTTTTACAACTCTCCTCTCCCACACATAGGGCCAACAACCGGGACCAGAGCTTCACAGATGGTAAATCAGGTGATGTGGTAGAGAGAATATAGTGCTCTCGAAGATGTCTCCATTTTAACCCTAGCAAGAAGAGTTATTCATTAAGGCTGCAATTTTGCTTAACACTTTGACTTTAGCCCTGTGAAACCTGTTTCAATTTTCTGACCTCCAAAGAATACACTGGTATAGTTTAAGCCATTGAGCTGAGGCTACTTGTTACAGCAGTATGAGGAACCATATACACACAGCTTTCATAGACCCCTGTGGAAAGCCCCATACGTACTGCAATTGCCAGAGTGACTGCATCCAGCTCTAGCTTGCCCAGGTGCCCGCAGAACACTGAACTTATGAAACTGATCAGGAACATCATCAGCTGGGCCAAGAACTTAGAAGAGAAAGAAGAGGAGGCAAGATGAGAACCAATGACCACACTCTCCAAGGCAACAGTACCCAACCCCTCTACCCACCCCCCAATCCGGCCACCCCTACCACCATCTCCAATGGAAGGCAAAGAAACCTAGCTTCAAGGGAGCTGTTGTCAGATTTGCTATATCCTAGGAACTTACTGAAATTGTAAAATAGTATTCCCAGAATACTATTTTAGTATTCATTCTGGGAATACTATTTTATCTGGGAATTGAATTCAGAGCCTTATACATGCTAGACAAATATTCTACTACTGAACGACATCATCAGTCTCTTAAAAAAATTTCTTTAAGTCAGGAACTGGTGACTCATGCCTGTAATCTTAGCTATTCGGAAGGTTGAGATCTGAGGATTCCCATTGGAAGCTGCCCTGGATAGAAAAGTCTGTGAGACTCATATCTCCAATTAACTAACAAAAAGCCAGAAGTGGAAATGTGACTCAAGAGGTAGAGCACCAACTTTGGTGTAAAAGCCAAACAAGACTCGAGAGCCTAAGTTCAAGCTCCCGTATTGGCACAATAATATAAAAATGAAAAAATTAAAAATGTATTTTGTGAGTCAGTCTTGGCAATTCACACCTATAAACCCCATCACTACAGAATCAGGGAGAAGAGAATGGTGAGTTTAAGACCATCCTGGGTTATATATGGCAAGTTTCAGGCCAGCGTGAGCCATCTAGTAAGATCCTGTCTCAAACCAAAGGGGAAAAAAGTTCTTTTAATTTGGACACGAAGTCTAAGTTGCTCAGGCTAGCCTCCACTTTCAATTTTCCTGTCTCAGCCTCCCAAGTGCTAGAATTACAAGGCAAGTGCCACCAATCTCAGCTAAAAAAAAAAATCTGTATTTTTTAACACTTTATAGTTGGCACATAAAATTGAACATACTTGTGGAGTTGGTGTGACATTTCAATACAATATAACCTGCGCAGTGACAAGCTCCAGGATGTTTAACACATTTATCACCTTCTTTATGATATATGGGGAACATTAAAAATCTTGCTAGTTGCCAAGCCCTGGTGGCTTATACTTGTTATCCCAGTTACTGAAGAGTTGAACACCCAAAGGACCTGAGTTGCAAGCCAACCTCAGCAAAAATAGTCTGAGAGACTCCATCTTCAACTAACTAGTGAAAAGCCAGGCTGAGGGTTGACTTAAGTGGTAGAGTACCAGCCATGAGCAAGAAAGTTGAATGAGCATGAGACTCTGAGTTCAAGCCCTGGTACACACACACACACACACACACACACACACACACACACACACATACACACACATACACACACACATATACCAAGCTATTTTGAAATATGGGATCATCTAGTTATCTTATTATGATATGGAATATTAGGAATTATTTCTCCTACCCAATTGCATTCCTTATTTTTCTACTTAGAAATATTTTTTCTTTCTGCCAGAACCATTTTTATTTTTAATACTTTTTTATTGTAAAAATACTGTACAGAGGGGTTACAGTTACATGAGTAAGGTAAAGAGCACATTTCCTATTGAGCATTGTTGCTTCCTCCTTTGTTTTTCCCCACCATCCTTTCCTTCCCACCTCCCCAACTACCCCTCCCCTCCCCTTTTTTTTGGTCGGTCATGGGGCTTGAACTCTGGGCTTGGGCGCTGTCCCTGGGCTCTTCAGCTCAAGGTGAGCACTCTACCACTTGAGCCACAGTGCCACTTCCCATTTTCTGGTGGTTTATTGGAGAAAAGAAGCTCACAGACTTTGCTGCCCAGGCTGGCTTTGAACACAGATCCTCAGATCTCAGCCTCCTGAGTAGCTAGGATTACAGGTGTGAGCCACCCGTGCCCGGCTCCCCCGCTCCCTTTTTTTTGTTAGTCATGGGGCTTGAACTCTGGGCTTCGGCTGTCCCTGAGATCTTCAGCTCAAGGCGAGTGCTCTACCACTTGAGCCACAGCATCACTTCCAGTTTTCTAGTTTTACTGGAGATAAGAGTCTCATAGACTTTCCTGCCCAGGCTGGCTTTGAACCATGATCCTCAGATTTCAGCCTCCTGAGCAGCTAGGATTACAGGCCTGGTGCCCAGCCCAATTGCATTCCTCAACCTACTAACTAACCTCTCAGTTGGTCCAAAAACCACTTTTTTTTTTCCACTCCAGTGTCTCAGGCTATAGAACACATTAAATTTCTTCTGAAAAGTTTGGCGCTTGCATCTAAGTTGAGCCCTCTGTTCTCCCAGATCCTAGTGAACAGATCCACAGAGAACAGAGCCTTCTCCAGGTGCCAGTGAAAAAGGCAGAAGTGGAGCTGTGGATCAAGTAGTTGAACTCTATCCTTAAGCAAAAAAGCTCAGACTCTAAATTCAAGCCCCAGGACCAGTACAAAAAAAAAAAAAGCCTTCAATAATAAGAGCTTGTGTCAGCAAGCAGGGCATCTCACAGTGAAGCAAAGGCTGAGGTAGAAATAAGTGCTCCAAGTGAATTCCAGTAAGGTCCTGGATGCCCAGGTAAAATGCTACCAGTCTGCTGAGAATCTCTATTATTATTATTTCTTTTTTTCATGGTACCAGAATTTGAACTCAAGACCTTATGCTGGCTAGGCTGGTACTCTACCACATAAGCCATACCCTGCCCTTTATGTACCCGTTTGCATTTTGGGTTTTTTGTTCATTTGTTTTTTTTGTCAGTCATGGGGCTTAAATTCAAGGCCTGGGTGCTGTCCCTGAGCTCTTTTGCTCAAGGCCAGTGCTCTACCACTTTGAGCTACAGCGCCTTTTCCAGTTTTTGAGTGGTTAATTGGAGATAAGAGGCTCATTGGAACTTTTCTGCCTCAGCTGGCTTCAAATCATGATCCTCAGATCTCAGCCTCCTGACTAGATAGGATTACAGGCGTGAGCCACTGGTGCCCTGCTACCATTTATTTTTTTAAGTAAGGACTTGCTGTTTGCCTAGGCCAGCTTAGACCATGATCCTCCTATTCACATTCCCCATATAGCCAGGATGACAGGCATTGCATTGGTTGAGATGGAGGAGAGCCTCACAAACTTTTTGCTCTTCTCCCCAACTCAGCCTCCCAAGTAAACAGGATTATAGGTGTGAGCCACAACACTTGGCTCTAATTCTTTAATGCTACAAAAGCTCAGGTATAAGGACACATTCATCTGCTGGAATACTGAACCATACTTCCCCACAAGTCCACTGGCCAGTAGACACTAGCTTATTTCTACAGGTTAATTTTAAACCCTCTCCTGCCCCTGCCTGCCTGACCCAGCAACCCAATGTCTCAATCTCAGGAAAGTCACGTGGCCCATGAGAAGGCTCATCTGAAGCCCCTCCCAATAAGAGGGAACAGGCAGATGCCTGAGGACTTGCTGCACCTGCCCCACGGGGCCCTCACAAAGGCCCAGGCCTCCAGATGTCACATTTGCTGTTGGTCCAGCCACAGTGCCACCTCTCACAGCCCTTCAAAATGGGCTTCTTTGTGCTGACTCAAGGGCCCTTCCTTCTTGGATTCCAGTGATGAGTTTCCATTGCTGGCTTCCACCTGTCCCATCATAACCTGTCTGCTGGGGCTGCAACCACCCCCAAAATTCCTGTCACCAGGTTCCTGAACTTTGACAATGCAAGATGAATGCTATGTCCTTCCCAGGGCCTACAACTGTAGAAGGGCAGTTCTCAACCCCAGTGACGGATGGAGAACTTGAACATGGGAATGGCCTGTTCCTATGTGAGTATATGTGAGTGTGTATGACTGTATGTGTGTGTGTGTAATTGTAGGTGTCAGTGTGGGTGGGTGTGAATGTGTGCACACTTGCACACTTGTCTGTAGGAATCATATCTTTCTTCAAGCCCCAACCCAGGTACGCTCCTCTATTACAGAAACTGAGTGTGAATTTCATTTCAAACACAGTCTCCAGCTTCTAAACAGAGAACATTTTTTTTTTGTATCACAGAAATAAGGCTCAATAAGAAAAGAGGGGATTAGCCATTAGCCAGGCATGGTGGCACATGCTTGTAATCTCAGCTACTTGGAAATTTCCCTCCTCTCTAGTAGGAGGATCTCAAGTTTCAAGCCAGCCTGAGGAAAATTAACAAGAGCCTGTCTCAAAAATAAAAGGGCTGAGGCTTGGCTCAACTGGTAGAGAACAAACACAAGGCCCCAGGATTCAATCTCCAGTACCACAAAAAAATAAACAAATAAAACAAACAAGAAGAGATAAGCCAGACAAAGCTGAGAGATTATCTCCAATTAACGAGAGGTATGGTTCAAGTGGTAGAGTGCCAGCCTTGAATGAAAAAGTCAAGTAAGAGCCTAAGGTCCTGAGATCAAATCCTAATATCAGCCCATAAATAAATAAATTAGTAAGAGAAGAATGAAAATGGAGGGGTTGTGGTCCGGGGGTGTAGTTCAGAGGTAAAATGCCCTGGGTTCCATCCTCAGCAAGAGAGGAAATGTGACATGAAAGGCCTGATTCAGTAGAATGTGAAGCTCAAGCCCACGGAGTCCCCTAGATTCATTCTAGGACCCCCAAGCTGTGACTGAGGTGTTTACTTCCCTTACAGACATTTGCTGTGGGTTCATCAAGGGACACTGGATATCTATTTATTTACTCATTCACTCATTCATTCATCTATGTCTGGTACTGGGGCTTGAACTCAGAGCCTTAAGTTTTCATTTGGCTTTTTTCATTCAAGGCTGGTATTCTATCTCTTGAGCCACAACTTCACTTCCAGCTTCCTGCTGGTTATTTGAAGATGAGAGTCTCTGGGACTTGTGTGCCCAAGCTGGCTTCGAACCTCAATATTCAGAACTGTCTGCCTGGGCTGGCTTAGAACTGTGATCCTCAGATCTCTCTCTCTCTCTCTCTCTTTCTCCCTCCCTCCCTCCCTTCCTCCCTCCCTCTCTCCTTCCCTCCCTCTCCCCTGAGTCATTAACATTATAGGTATGAGCCACCTGTACCAGTCTTCAAAATATTCTTCATGCTTACCCCATGATCACCCAGTAAAGGTACAAGCCCCTAAAATCCAGACTTAGAGAATCTGTAGAGTCTTTGGAACTGTGCTAACAGAAGGCATGCTATTTGGCCTGGACAAAGCCAAATAACTGATAGAAACTGCCAGGGTAAGGGCTTGTGGTAGAACTCAGAGAGAGGGAGAGAATATGCACTTAGTATGTTTAAGGTTCTGTGCTAAATCTGCTCAATCCTCAGCTGTGTGTGCACCTATGCACCTATGTACACTCACATGTGCACACATACACACACATACACAAGTGAGCTGACTATGCATCTGTATTTTCATCTAGGATTTCTGCTCATCTTTTGGCCAGGCAGCAATACATAAAGCTGGTAGTGAGGAGAAGGTCCACAACCCAGAAGCTTGAGGAGGGGACTCTCCAGGACTTGCTGCCTGCCCAGTGGCCAATTAGAGCTCTAGGAGGAAGGGGACAGTCATCCACCCCCCCCCCCCCACTCCAGGGAGGCCTGAGAATCTACTCATAGCAGCAAAAGATCATCATTGGAAGGAACAAAATGGTGCTTAGAAACAGCCTCCTCCTTGTACATTCGAGGCAGCTCAGTCCAGTCACCTGACCAGGCTCGGACCTTACACTCAAGACGGAGTCTCTGGAGCACAAAGTACATCCCAGCCACTGGGTTAAACAGGGCTACTCCACCCCACCCCAGAGTGTCCACAGCACAGAGGAAAAAGGCAAGGAAGATGCAATGAACAACACAGCTCAGTACATTGCTGTAGTGTCTTCTTATAGCCTGGCCTCTCTGCCTTCATTTCACATCTCTTCTTTACCTTGGGTCTGATTCCTGCCCAGCTCCACATAGAGGCCTTCAGGGATGTCTGTCTAAAATACAAGGTTGCCAGATACTTGTGGCTCATGCCTATCATCCTAGCTACTTAGGAGGCTGAGATCTGAGGACTGAGATTCAAAGCCAGCCCAGGCAGAAAGTTCTGTTAAGATTCTTATCTAATTAACCAGAAGAAAAGTTGAAAGTGTAGCTGTGGGTCAGATGATACAGTGCTATTCTTGAGCAAAAAAGCCAAGTGAGAACTTGAGGTGCTGAGTTCAAGCCTCAGTACCAGAAAACACACACACACACACACACACACACACACACACACACACACACACACGTTAAAATATGAGATGGCCCACTTCAAGGCTAAAGGTAGAAAGATAACTAATGGCCTTTACTCTCAGCTTTGATGACATCCTATTCTAGACCTGAGGGTCTTCTCTTTGAGAAGAGATACCAAAAATCCCCACTGTTCTAAATCTGTAGTCACCTTGGATTCTAGGAAAGGCAAAGCCTCCAAGATAAATCACCCCATGATGGGATCATCCCCTAAGTGGATCAATTACCCCATGATGGAAACTGAGGCGGTGGGCCAAGCAGGGCAATCATCTCATGAGAACTGGCTTGTCTGAGTCATTGCAGGGGCAAGACTAAGATAATCACCAACCAGACCATAGTATGGCCAAGACTGCCTAATTATGCATACCTTCCACTCCTAAGCCCACAGATCAAAGTAGGGCACTAAACAAGTCCCAGATCCGAAGACTCCAAACCAGTTCTCTGGTCTGTGGGAGAGGATGGCAAGTTTATGTACAGGACAACCTTTTTTTTTCATCTTTCGGTTTTGTCTCTGGCATTGTCTTGCTGACTGCAAACCGCTGTGTTAACCATCATGTCCCACAAACAGCAGGCTCATCATTGGGACAGGATAGCCTGTCACCTCCCCCCAGGGTGCCTGGCCAAAAGCATATTCACCCCTCAGACACACCTGGCCTCTTCTGCAAGCTACCCTCCTACCTCTGACCTCCAATACCACCACAGCTGGCAGGAGAAGGAATCTGATTACATGAGTTGTGGGTTTTGTTGGTCCCTTCCCCCTCCCCCCCCCCCACATACTTTACTTCTTAGAGATAAGGCAGAAAGACATCTAGCCTAATGATTTAAAAAAAAAAAATCTGTAACATTGTCCAAAAAGAAATGTACTTGTTACCGGAAAAAGTAACCCCTCTGTACATCACCTTTATAATAACATTTTTTAAAAAAACCAAGTCAGGGGCTGGGAATGTGGTCTAGTGGTAGAGTACATGCCTAGCATGCATGAAGCCCTGGGTTCGATTCCTCAGTACCACATAAACAGAAAAAGCTAGAAGTGATGCTGTGGCTCAGGTGGTAGAGTGCTAGCCTTGAGCTGAAGAGCTGAGGGACAGTGCCCAGGCCCAGAGTTCAAGCCCCAGGACTGGCAGAAAATAAATAAATAAATGAAAGGTCAGGCACCAGTGGCTCCTGCCAGGAAGTTAAGATCTGAGGATCCAGGTTCAAAACCAGCCTAAGCAGGAAAGTCAATGAGACTCATCTCTCCAATTAATCACCAAAAAACCAGAAGTGGAGGAGGAGCTCAAGTGGTAGGGCACCAGAGCCCCCAGGCCCTGAATTCAAGCCTTAGTAATGGTCAAAAAACAATAATTAAAAAAAAAAAAAAAGCGATCCCATTGAAAAGAACACCTCAACCCCAAAGAAACCCACATTAAAAATCTGAATTTTGAACACAATGATTGGCAGGGAGGGAAGCTCAGTGAAGGATGCCTCCCTCCCCCTCCCCCCGCCCCCCAGCTCCCTTTGCTGAGGCTGATTCTAGATCCCAAACATGTGGATTTCCAAACTCGTCCCCCTACCCCGTGCCTCGGGGGTGGTCATTGCTTAGCTGTCCAACTTGACGGGCAAAGAAACCAAGTTCTTAGTGTTCAGAAGGTCAGGCAACTTTTGGTTGGTTCGCAGGAATCCTCGCGCAGAGAGCCACTAGGGAGAGAGAGTCCCCTCCGGCGCGCAGCTCCCGGGCCCCCAGTGCGCACGGCGCCGCTGGCGCGCGCGCAGCGTTCCCAGCGGTGCCAGCGGTGCCTGCTGCGCCCGGCGGGGGGCCGTTGGCAGCGGGGACGCACGCGGAGGCGCGGGGACCCCAGCCTGGCTCTCCCCGCGGTGCGGCTCTGTTCCCTCCCCGTCAAAGTCACTGCAGTACGACCATTGGGCTCCCATCCCACGGGGACTGGCCAGCCACCGAGGCCACCTGACTCACCGCGGGCCCCGCCAGGACCAGCAGCGCCCGCAGCTCCTCTCGGACGTTGGACAGCTGCAAGCTGCGCAGCCCGCGGCGCTCGGAAGTCTCTGAGCTGCCGGGCCCGGACGCCGGCTCCACCGTAGACTCCATGCGTTCTGCACGGTGCTGGCGGGAAGAGCGGATGCAGATGGCCCGGGACGGCTCTGGGCCGGTCCCCGCTGCAGTCCCCGCCCCTGGCCGCCCCCCCCCCGCCCCCCCCACCCCACCCCCCGGCCCGCCCTGCGCCCGCCGGAGCGCGCCGCCAGCCAGCCTGTGACCTTGGACGATCTCTGGGCACCCTGCACCCCTGTGGATCCCCGCAGGTTTTGTAAAGGCCGGTGAACTCCTGCACTCGGGAAGAAAAGTTTGAAAAACTGTGCAAATTAGGGAAGAGCGGCCGGGGCAACGATGACTCATGCCTGTAATCCTAGCTACTCAGATCTGATGCAGGGTCAGGGTTCGAAGCCAGCCTGGGCAGGAAAGTCCAAGAGATTATATCTAATTAACCACCAAAAAGCCAGAAGTGAATGTGTGACTTAAGTGCTGGCCTTGAGCAAAAAAAGTTCAGGGGTAGTGCACAGGCCCAGTATCAGCAGAGATGAAAGAAGAAGAAAAGAAGGGAGGGAACGAGGGAGGGCAAGAAAGAAAAGGAAAAAGAGAGAAAGAAAGAAAAAGAGAGAAAGAAAGAAGGAAGGAAGGAAAGAAAGAAAGAAAGAAAGAAAGAAAGAAAGAAAGAAAGAAAGAAAGAAAGAAAGAAAGAAAGAAAGAAAGAAAGAAAGAAAGAAAGAAAGGAAGAAAGAAAGGAAGGAAGGAAGGAAGGAAGGAGAGAGGAAGGAAGGGAAGGGAAGGGAAGGAAGGAAGGAAGGAAGGAAGGAAGGAAGGAAAGGAAAGAAGATCAAATTTTCATCTTCTTAGGATTAAAATAATCAAAAGTGTCTGGGCATGGTGGCACAAGCCTGTAATTCTAACACTAGGGAACCTGAAGAAGGGGTTAAGACAGTAGTTTGAACCAGAAATTACAGCCCAGCCGGGGCAACACACCGTATCTGCCTCTTAAAACATAGGTAAAGCTGGACACCTGTGGCTCACACCTGTAACCCTAGCTACTCAGGAGGCTGAAATCTGAGAATTGTGGTTCAAAGCCAGCCCAGTCAAGAGACCATAAAAAACTGGAATCTGAGCTGTGGCTCAAGTAGTAGAGGGCTAGCCTTGAACACAAATGCTCAGGGACAGTACCCAGGACTGAGTTCAAGTCCCTGGAATGGCAAAACATAATTAATAAAAATAATAAATATAAAATAAAGGAAAAAAGTAACAAGGATAGAAAATTTATGCCTTTTAAATTTGCTAATTCCTGTGGTTTGGATATGGTGGGAGGGTCTCCCAAAAGTCTATGTGTTATCTAAGGAATGATCATAGTGAAACTCTCGTACAATTGATATTCGTGAACTTTAAAAAAATAGTTTAAAAGAAGAAAGAAAGAAAAAAGAAGAGAAAGAAGGAAAGAAAGGTGGGGGCAGAAGAAGAATGCTCATGGGCTGGTACTTGCTTCCTCACTGTGAAATCTTTAGGAGTTGAAGCCTAATGCAAGCTAAGTAGGTCACTGGAATACAAGGTCTTGGAAGGGATTAATGCAGTTGTCTCAGGATCCCAGTTAGCTCCTCATAAGAGTGGGTTGTTACAAGCAAGCCTGACTGCTGAGTCCCTCATCTCTTTATGTCAGCTCTCAATTTTGCCTGTACCCACCCTCACCATGAGCCACATTGTAATGGAGCCAGAAGGGCCTTACCAGAGCTGAGCAAATGTTACCATCTTGCTCTTGAATCTCCTGAACTGTCATACGCCTAAATACATCTCTTTTCTTCATAAGGGCACTAGTATCCAGTATTTTCCTTGTAGCAATGGGGGGGGGGGGGGGGGCTGAACTACTGGTCTGGTCTATTCACGGTTTTCCTCCCTCTTCTTGAATCAGTTTTGTGCATTCACAGTTAGTATTTCTAGACTGGATGGCTGCTGTAACACATGATCACAATCTTACTGGCTCACAACACACATTATCTTACAGATGTCAGAAGTCAGAAATGTGCTTCATGGGGCTTAATCAGAGATGTGAGCAGGACTGACACTGCATTCCTTCTGGAAGCTTCAAGAGAGAGAATTGACTTATTTTTCCAGCCTCTAGAAATACCTGTGGTCCTTGGCTTGTAGCTCTCTCCATCTTGTGTCCCTGAGTGCTAGATATAGTTTGAGTGTGTTCCCCAGGGGTTTACATTTTGGAGCTTAGTCCTTAGGTGTAGAAAGTAGTCTTCTGGAAAGTCACTGAGGACACTCTTCACAGGAGGGATTGAGATTCACTCATGGAGTGAGTTGTTCTTGTGAGAGTAAGTTGTTATACAAGAGCAAGCCTGACTCCGCCCTGTGCTCCAGCCTCCAGTCTTCCTGTGTCCTCTTCTGCCCACAAGAGCTTCTGCTACTATGCCATCTGCTGTGATGTGGTACAGCTAAGGATGCCCTCACCAGAGCTCATACCAAAGTGTTGGTACTTTACACCTCCAAAATCATGATTTACAAAAAAAAAAGAACTTCATCTTTTTCTTTTTTCTTTTCCTTTCCTTTTCCTTCCCTCCTTTCTTCACTCTTTTCTTTTTGTTTTTTCTTTCTCTCTCTTTCTTCCTTTCTTTCTTTCTGACTTTGATTCTTTGCCCTCATCTTCTAATGACCTTTGAGATCCCAATTTGCACACCTATTTCTAGGATAATCTCAAGCTCCTTAATGCAATTACATCTACACAGTCCCTGTACCATGTAAAGCAGCATATCAAGAGGTTCCATGGATCAGGATATGGCTACCTTTGACAGCAGGGGCATGTGTGTGTGTGTGTGTGTGTGTGTGTGTGTGTGTGTGTGTGCATGCACGCAAAGGTAAGCTAGTCCTGGGGCCTAAACTCAGGGTCTGGGAAATATGCTTGTGCTTTTCTACTCAATGGTAGCATTTTACAACTTGGGTCATAGCTCCACTTTCAGCTTTTTTGATAGCTAAAACACCACTTCTGGCTTTTTAGATGGAGTACTTTGATCTCATGCTGATGTGCTAACATAAAAACAAAGCTGAGAACCCTAGGAGTTACCAGGATCCCTGAAACATATATTTAAAAAAACAATTGGCACTGTGGCTCAAGTGGTAGAGCGCTTGCCTTGAGCTGAAGAGCTGAGGGACAGCACCCAGGCCCAGAGTCCAAGCCCCATGACCAACAAAAAATAAATAAATAAATAGCTGTGCCCCAGTGGCTCACGCCTGTAATCCTAGCTACTAGGAGGCTGTGATTGGAGGGTCTCAGTTGGAAGCCAGCTCGGTCAGGAAAGGTTGTGAGACTCTTATCTCCAATAAGCCACTCAGAAAACTGAAAGTGGTGCTGTGGCTCAAGTGGTAGAGCACTAGCTTTGAGCTGAATAGCTCAGGGACAGTATCCGGGCCCAGAGTTGATGCCCTATGACCGACAACAAAAAAAGAAATCCTTTAATCAGAATCTCTGTTGTCTCCAGCTCAATAACAACCACCACACAATCCCACTGTCAAAACCCCAGGAAAGGGAAGTAAGTCACAACTGAGATTCAAGCCCAGAACCAGACAGAAACAGAAAACAGAAAGTCCAAAAACCGCAGGCTCAGTGCTCGGGTCATAGCTTAGCAAGCACAAGACTGAGATTTAGTCCCCAGTACTGCCTAAATAAAAGCATCACAGGACCAGAGATTGCTTTCAGGAACTCATCTCCACAGGCCATTTGCAGAAAAATTACAAGGCATACTAAAAGGAAAAGACACAGTTGGAAGTGACCGAATACTCATCAAAACCACAGCCACATAGAGCAGGAATGTAGGAATTAGCAAACTGGCAACTTTTAAAAAAAATGATAGATGTGCAAAAGGCTTTAATTAAAAGAAAGGATAGAACACACATGAACAATGTAAAGAGAAATACAAAAATTCTAAGAAAGTCAAACTGTTAGATTTTCTTTTTAAACCAACTTTTAACATGCTGATGCCAGTAGTCCATGCCTACTTGGGAGGCTGAGAATAAGAGGAAGAATAACAGAAGGCAAAAAAGGCTGAGGATAGAGTACCAGTGGTAAAGCACCTGCCTGGCAAGAGCAAACCCCTGAGTTCAAACCCCAGTACCACCAAAAATGATATGACCATAATAATATATTACCCATTACTTACTATTCACAAATGTTATACTTCTGTTTTTCTAGAGCTACTATATTCCAGGATGTGCTAAGAGCAGTCAGCTCCTTAATTTCACAATACCCTCTTTATCCTCTTTCTTCAGATAGGGTAATAGAGGTTCAAATGGCCATGTAACCCTCCCAAAGCCAAAGAGTTCATATGAACAGTGAGAGGGAAAATTACTCCCACAGACTTACAGGGACAGAAATACAGGATCCTGAGTGTCAGATAATTAAGGGACAGAAACACCTGGCCTGCACCATTGCTTACTGCTCAACTAGCAAATGCACTCTGCCTGCTGTCCTCAGGACAGAATATTAAAAATGAATATAAATTTTATGTTGTCAGAGGTAAGGAGTCACATATGAAGAACACAGTTTCTAAAACTCTGGGAGCCCCTTAACCCCAAGAGTCCACAAGATTTCTGCCTTTCTGGTGATTCTAGTTGTTTGGGTCTTCCTCTAAGGAGCCTTAAATTGGTTCATGATTGATTGATCAATCTTTTAGTAAGCAGTCTACCACAGAGCCACATACCCAGGCCTCAGGTTAATTTCATCAGGCAAAGCAGAGCAAAGCTTTCCTACAGAAGTGCACAAGAAATCTTCTAGGGATCTTGTTAAAAGCAAATGTGACCACCACCACCAACAACAAAAAATACAAAAGCAGGGGGCTGGGAAGGTGGCTCAGTGGTAGAGCGCTTGCCTTGCATGTCTTGAGGCCCTGGGTTCGATTCCTCAGCACCACATAAGCAAAAAGAAAAAAGCCGGAAGTGGCGCTGTGGCTCAAGTGGTAGAGTGCTAGCCTTGAGCTGAAGAGCTGAGGGACAGCGCCCAGGCCCAGAGTTCAGGCCCCATGACCGGACCAAAAAAAAAAAAAAAAAAATACAAAAGCAGATTTGTAGCCAGGTGCCTGTGGCTCGTG